CCCATCTCACCACCTGCCTATTGAATATTTCAAACTGTATGTCCCAGAGATCCCTCACTCAACGTTTCTAAAGTAGAACTCATTCTCTTTTCTCCTAAACCCTCCCTCCTTCCAAACCTCCTCGGGCACCAACATCCGCCCAGTCTCCCTGGTTCATGATTTTGACAGCAATATGGACTCTTCATTCTCCCCACATATGCAGTTAGTTGCCAAATCTTTCTACCTTCACGACGACTCTCCCGTACACCTCCTTCACTCCACTCACATAGCGATCAGCTACATTTATGCCTTCACCACCTTTAGCCTAGATCACTTCAGTCTATCCCACACATGGCTTATCATTAAGCACAGATCAGGCCAGGTGACTACCCTGCTCAATCAGCCTCAGTCAGGGGTGGGGAACCTGTGGCCCTTTAGGTGTGGCCTCGAGGCCACAGTTTCCCCACCCTGAGTACCAGAGGCTTCCTTTGCCTCGAGGATCGAACATGAGCTCCTCTATTGAACTTTCCAAGCCCTATACAACCAACTCCCAATTTATCTTTCAATAGAAGAAGTTCTTCCTCCTCCACACCTCTCTGTTCTTCAAACATGCCCTAATTCACATGTCACTGTGCCTTTCCATTAGCTGTCTTCCATGACTAGTATGTGCTCATAGCTAACTATGGTGTGTATCTGCATGTTTTTACTCACTGTGTATCTATTTGTAATATACAGTGTAGATAAAATACATTCTACATAGAACACAAGCTCACTGCAAGTCGGGATGGTTTCACTCTTTATCCTTGAACGCAAAGCACAGAGCACAATGTCTAGCACGTAGTATGTGCTGAACCAATACATGCTGCTGGCCTGACATCCAAAAAGTAGTTGGTAATGTGGGGAGTCAGCAGAGGGGTTAGGGTTGGGTAGACAGATAGAGAGATCAAACAGAGATGACAACTGAACAAGGAGGAACTCATGAGATGATCTAGAGGAAGAAGAGAGAAGGGCCCAGGACCAGGCCATGGCTGGTGGGCCCGAGCCAGATAATGATGGGGCAAAGAGAATGGCCAATGCACATGAGGCAGGGAGGGGGAGAACCAGGAGGGAGCAGGGTCACACACACCTAGAGAGGAGAAGAGGCTGTGGAGAGGTCAAGAAGGACGAGGTTTAAGAAGAGGTCCAGAGAGCTGCGATTCAGAGAATGGATGATATGGTCAGAAGGTTTAGAAGAAACTGAGAGGAGAGGAAATGTGACCCACAAATGATTTTCTCAAGGACTTTAACCACTGAAAGGAAAAAGAGATATGGGACAGAGTGAGTGGGGGCTGATGGATCAAGGGAGGAGAGCGGTGACGTGGGCATTTCTGTAGGCAGCAGGGAAGGAGCCAGGAGATGGGGAGAGGCTGAAGGAGAGCAGGAATGACAGAGGACACCTGACTGGAAGAGATGGGAGGAGATGGGCTCCCAGGGGCACAATAACTGGTGTGTCTTAGCAAGGAGAAGGGCCACCTCTTCATGGAAGAAAGGGAAGGATTTCAGTAACGTGCAACAAGAAGAGGGGAGAAGAGAGAGCTCTTGTTAATGGCCTTGGGTTTTTTTTCTGGAAGTATGAGGCAACGTCCTCTGGGAGAAAGGGTGAGATGATCTAACGTCCATTTGGAGCCGAGTCAGCTGTGTTATGAGCCTCTTCTGCAGTCCCGTTCAACAGAACTGCACCAGCTAAATTAATCTACCCATTTGTGCCATACCCAGCAAATCATGGAGAGAATACTTTTTTAAATGATAACAAAATTAATTCTGAAGAACGGAAGATTAGTATCTCACAGAAAACAACGAGAAAAAGTATGGATGGAGGGGACAGAGCATCACCAGATTTCAGACTGTGTTATAAGTCAGCGGGTGGTCACAAAAACTACTTGATATTTGTTAAAAACAAAAAGTCCATCAGTAAAACTGATTAAATAAGCAAGAAACAGAACCCACTGGAAATGCGCAGTCCGGCGTTTGATAACCCAAAACATGAATGACGGGGGAAGGACTCCCTTTTGGAAAAGAACTACTATGAAATTAGAAAGTGTCTTGGCAGAAATTCGATGAAGACAACTATGTTACATCCTATGCCACAATAAGGTCAAAAGAGATAAGAAATCTGAAACGGTCACACCATTAAAAACCAAACCAGCCAGAATAAGATTAGGTACTTTTAAAATGTATGGCTAGGAGAAGACATCTTAAAAAGGGATAGAGAATATCATGAAAGATTTTTCAAAAGACAATTTTAATTACATAAAATTAAAAAGCTTTTGAATGGACAAAATCAATGTAGCCAGAACAAGTTCCATCAAATGTCACTAATAAAAATCTGATTTGTAAAATTTACAGGGAATTGACATCAATATATAACACCAAGAGTCATTCTGTAATAGATAAGTGATCAAAGGATATGAGATTTCAAAAGCAGAATTTGAAATTATGAATGACCACATGAAAATATTTTACAATTCACTAATCATTACAGAAATGCAAATTCCAAGATCTGCTTTTTTACCTTACACCATAAAAACTGGCAAAGGTGACCAGAAAGAAAGGGACCAGTGGAGGGGCTGAGACAGCCACCTTGGCATTTACTTCCTGGCTGAGTGACCTCAGTTTCCTCATCTACACAAATGAAGAGTTGAACTAGATGACACCTAAGGCCCTGCCCATCTCTACACCCAGGACCCTCTGATGCTAGTGTACGGTGAGGAGACCCCGACAAGATCCCACCATTCTGAGTATCGGTTTGGAGTTATGTAAGCAAAGTGACTATTTTGTCTTCGACTCAGAGATCCCACTATAGAGCACATGCTCAAGGAAGTCAAAAGACAGAAACAAAGGGCCAACAGACACCCCGAGACAGTCTTCGTATCCCTTTTATGAGAGTCCCCAGTGGGATATGAACGCAAGGGAATATTGCTGTGTGGTAAGACATGGGAATCTGAGGAATTCAGAGAAACATGAGAAGATTGATATAAACTGATGCAGCTTCCAATAAGCAGAACCAAGAGAAGAATGACTAACTGTAGTAATGTAGATAAGAATATCATAGTCTGAGTAACCAAAAAACCAATGAAGGCTCTGGAGAACAGACACTAATGGCACAGAATAATACACATATTATTCTACCATACAATTTACACACCAACAGTCTACCTGCTAACAGTATTTTTACATTACTTGGATAGAAGGATAGATTTATACTATCCTACTATACACTCTACATACCAATAGGATATAGAGACTATTAGGATAGCATAGGATATACACCTTGTCAGGTCAGATGCAATGGCTGTCAGATGATTTCTTCCCCGCCCCGGCCATCCCCGCTCTCATACACACAAATCTTGGGAATGGACCTGCTCTTTGGGGACTCTTCCAGGGAATTCTCTCCCTTGCACTTCCAGCAAAAGGATGTTTGGGGGTGGAGGAGAGAGGAGGATGTTCCCACTACCCTACGAGCAGCAACGGCAGCTGGGACACACGATGTCCTGGGACCAGGCAGGCTTGAGGTAGGGCCCCAAAGCCCTACATCCAGCTGCCTTCTGCTTCCTTCCTTGAGCACAGATCCTGAGAATGGACATTTCCAGCCTTGGCAGCTACCCCTGGGCCAAGAGTTCCAGATCTAGGCCTCTGCTGACCAGAAGAGAAAAGCACCCTTGCCACAAAGCCTCAGGAAAGCTGGGCTCAGGCTGGCCAGAGGTGAGCCTTGTGAGCTGCTGAGGCCACGTACCTGAGGTGACCATCCCCCAAGGGTCTCTTTTACTTTGGTGCTGGGGTATGGAAGAAGGACAAAGTACAAAGAACCCAATAGGCCCCTTTCTGGGTTTGCTAATGAATGCTTGTGCGTCTCTTCCACTCTATGCATTGCTGTCCTACTATACCTGACACCTGCACTGGACATTGAACACGTTTTCTTTCTAGTAGGGACCCTGTTACCCACATTTTGGAGAGATCCTTAACATAAGCCATTTATAAGATTTGTTTTGAAGATTTCCCTGGGCTTATTTTGGGTGGGGACAGAAACAGAGAGGGGAAAGCCTGAGACTCCCCATCCCCGCTTTGGGGCCACGTGGGCCCTGAGCAGAGCCTCTCCTGAGAGGGCTGAGGGGGCAACTGACCCTAATCCTAACACAGTAAGCAAGTGCTTCCCAAAGTGAAAATGGAATTTAAGACCAAATACTTTCCTGCCTCAGCCTGTGCACAGCTGTAAACCCCTGGGTGCTTATCAAAGACTGTGTGAAAGCATTCCTCTGTTCTCCTTGGATAAAAATATTTCTGTGAAATAGCTGTTATCATTGTTTTCCTCCTCAAAGATAATGAAAACTGAGGCTTGCTCGTGTCAGGGAGTGGGGAACTAGGTCAAAAAGGTCAACGCCATTCTTCAGGCACATGCAGTCACGTGAGCCATTTGGAAAAGGCTCTGGAAGCCATTCTGCTCCTCATTCAGAGGGTCAGAGGCAGCTTATTTAGACGAAGGTTCAGCCGAAGTTCACCTGGGCTTAGAACTTGTTTCTTTATCAAATGAAATAGTCTATGTAAAGTGCTTTGCAAACCTTAGAGGGCTATGAAAATGTTCCTGCTGTAATTATTACAACTGTCATCCTTACTCTTATCAGGGCAAAAGGTAGCAGTGCAAGCCAGGCTGCATGGGGTCCCATTTCCCTGGCACACTCCGGGATGTCCTTGATCAACCCTGGATCACATCCCAAGTCACTGCCCCGGCTCCCTCAGGACCACTCACACGGGGGGGAGGGAGGACTACTTTACTGTATGTGGCCAATAGGACCACACAAGAAATGGTGTAGCATCCCTTTGGCCTTCCTTACTCAGATTCTGGAGGTAGGGCAGCCTTGCAGCTCCAGGAGCAGAAACACTTCATGAGCCCAACAACAGACCGTGGTCATCCTAACATGATTTCCCACACTGCCCCAGGAGTTGCTACCTGCAGTGGCGGCGGAGGGGTCCTAGGGTCTGCCCACCTGGCAAACGTCATAGTGCTCAAACAGAGACAGGAGTCCGACATCACTGCGAGATGTAATTCCTCTGAGGAGGGTTATGTTCCCATTTCCAGAATCCAGCTCCACCACATCATTGAAAACATTGGACACAGCCTTGCCAGTTAGAAGCAGGTTGACAAGTTCCTGTTGACCAAAGAAAAAGGAAGTTTGTGAATTCTATATGCCAAACACAGAAGAAAAGGAGGGGAGAAGATCAGAGGAGATAAGATGAGGGCGGAAGGAAAGGAACAGAGAATTTTTTTTCCACGATTCATAGGGAACAAAATTTCGACCACTTTCCTTATAAGTTTGTAAGTTATCGTTTGATCTAATCTGTTCTGAGGGCCTGCTACTGTGAGCAAATCATTTCACGTTGGACTCAGTGATTGCCTCTCCTGGACCTGCTGACCACTGGGGCTTCTCAACTCTACACCTATGACCCCCACACTAGACACAAAACAGAGACCTTGCCCTCAGGCATGTCTCTGGAAGGTGAGGTTTTTGAAATATATTTTTATTTATTTCATTAAATAGTCCCAATTACTTACAAAAAATTTTTGACAGTCATTTTTTAACATTTTGAATTCCAAATTCTCTCTCTCTCTCTAGCCCCTCTCCCACTCATTTAGAAGGCAAGCAATATGATGCCAATTATACACGTGAAATCATGCAAAACATTTCCATATAGCCATGTTGCAGAAGAAGGCAAGCAAAATAAACAAGCTCCCAAAGTCTGCTTCGCTCTGCACCCAGAGTCTGCCAGCTCTCTGTCTCTGGGAGTGGGCAGCATTTTTCATCATAGGTCTTTGGAACTGTACTGATCACTATCTTGAGCAGAGTAGCTAAGTCTATCAAAGTGAGGCAAGTCTCCCTCTCTCCCTCTGCTCTGACAATGGTGAGAAAAGCAGTGACCAGTACATCACTTTTATCTCTGCTGACAACCCCTGACCCAGTGAGCATGAAAAAGACCCTTGGTTTTATTAGTGGGAGATGTGGAATGCCCTGCATTGTGTATATATGGAGGAAGCCAAGAAGGACTTTGGAGGAAATGCTCAGGCAAGTTATGGTGCTCTGGGGGGCCTTAGCCCCTCAGGAAAAGGAGCCTGAGTTCACTGCCATGTTCTACAGGGCTAAAGGTCTTCCCCTCTGGCCTCAAGGATCCAGGGGAGGGGTTGATGGTACACTCTCTGGACGGCTTCCTCCAAGGCCCCGTCCAGCCACAAGCCTTCCCAGAACCAGGCAGTGGGACAAGCCTCTGGCTGCCCTCATGTTTCTGGGTCTGCTCAGTCTTTCTTCTTCATCATCTTGGAGTGGAGTCAGCCTAAGAAGAGCAACATGAAATGCCAAAAGGGGCCCTCGAGGTGAGCAGCAGATAACAGGATGAGTCAGAGTGGCCCCAGGGCCCAAGGCCTTTTCTGCTGAGTGACCCTGCACTCCAACACTGTCTTCAGGACCCTCAGAAGGGTACATGCTCACAGGAGTCCCCACAGCTCAGTTAGAGCCAGAACTGGTGCAAGAAGCCAGGCCTAGTAACCCCCATCTCTGTCACACTGTGACTGACATTTCTCCATTTGACAGATGAGATGAAGAGTCAGAATCTGCATCTCTCTTTCCCCCTCACCAAGCTGTCTCTCCACACAACAGGAATCTGAATAATGGGGAAGGGTGTGCTCCAACAAAGGCATCAGTCCATGACAACACCAACAGAGCACACACTGTGAGGTGGAGCCGGGAGCTCATCGGGGTGGGCATTTCCTCCAGCAGGACAGACTGCAGCCCATGGGACAGGCCTCCCGTCCTCCAGCTCAGTTCATGACTTCTACAGATATAGCCACAGTGAGTCACGGGACCTGTGCTCAATCCCCACACCTGCCACCAGGTTCCACATGGGCCATTTCATCTCCTTGGGCCTTGGTTCAAGTCAGGTCAACAAGCATTTACTACTTGGCTCCTCTGTGCCAGGCAGTGTGCTAAGCAGTGGGGATACAAAGAAAGGCCAAAGCAAGTCTCTCCCAGTCTAATGGGAGAAACGATGTGCAGATGATGGGGCACACACAAGACCGATCACCACACTGCCGTCATTCTTGCCTCGCATCCCTACCCCAAGCCGCACTGGCCACGGGCATCACAGACACAGTCAGGACAGGTGGGTCCCTGTGGTGCCTCTGACCTTTCCAGCTGCCTGACAGGATCCCAGTTGAGCTGCTTCCTGCTCCCTGGCCTCAGTGCCCTCTCTTGTGAGATCACTAGCTGTTCTTACACTCCCTGCCTCTCGGGGTTGCTATGAGAAAAGCAAGTGCTAGAAAGAGGAGAGGATAGAGTATGAAAACCTCATGTGCTGGCCCACCCTGATCAAGTCACCTGAGCTCTTTGCCTCAGTTTCCCCATCTGTAATGGGGGACAATACCCCCTGTACCATCTGCCTCACAGAATGTTTGTGAACCAAGCACTCCGTGGGACTAATCATTATGATTCTGCTCCCTCCAGCCAGGGGAGCACCACGCTGGGCATCCCTCCCTGACCAGGCTCTTGTGGAGCCCATCGAGACAAACGGAGCCCCTCCCCTCTGCCCGCCTCTCCCAGGCCCACTCCCATGGGTACCTGGGTGCAGTATCCGTGGGCTCCGATCAAGCAGTTGGTGGGCACGTCAAAGTCCCTGCGCACTCTGAAACACACAAGAAGAGCCGTGCCTGGAGGACACGCCCGAGCTGCTCAGGGAGGCTAGCTCTGCCCCTTTTGTCCCTGGGCAGCATGGCAGAAGACTCTGGCTACTGGGCAACCTCAGCTAAGTCATCTGAAGTCTCCCCCATCCAGTGGCGAGGCTGAATGAGCCTAAGATGGGAGAAGATTCTCTCTCAAAGCACAGTTTCTGTCCTTGGCTGACATCTCAGGACTCCTCGTCACCCTGCCCAACCAGGCCGTCCCCCTAAGTGCCCTGGTCTCAGCAGGCTGTCAAGGAAGAAAAGGATAAGGCCCAATACTTCACAAGGCAGTCATGACGCATTTTATTTCCAGAAGAGGAGGCCTTTTCCCAGTGGCACCATAGCAAGGGAGTCCCAGAGAGAAAGCAGGGGGTGGGCTCTCTTAGGGTGCTGTACTTCCCCCACTTGGCCCAACTGGGCACGAGCACCTCCCCACTATAAAGCCATTCTTCGGGCTACAGCCTCCTTGAAGATGTTGCCCTTTGGAGAGGGGAAGGGAGATGGGGGCAGGGAGAGGAGGGGAAGGCCAAGGTGACAGGTTCCAGGGTAGAAGCCCTGGGAGCTAGAGTTTAAAGAAGAGAATGGAAACAAGGCCTGGTCTAAATTCCGACTCCCTATCTAAGCTCTATCCTAAAGAACCCCACCCTGCAGGGCTTCAGAGCCTATACTGGTGTGAATGCTCAATCAGGAAACATGCACCAAGCGCAGCTCCCCACCTCCTGCTCGCCAGCTGGGGAATGCACATATCCTCAGCCTTGGAGAAAACCACTCTGCTGTGGCAGACATTTCTGGGCAAACCCTCAGGGATTTGGGGTGGAGCTCAGGTTTGGAGGGGCCTGGGCAAGAATCAGAGAGCCTGGGGCTCCTCGGAACTGGTCAGTGCCTAGAGAATTGCCCATGGGATGCAGTGCAGGACTGGGAGGGGGCGGGTAAAGGGGCCTACAGGTCACTGAGCTTGCCCAGAGGCCAAAGGAGATTAATGGCGGTCATGTGGGTTGTATGAACCAGCTTCTTCTAAAGAGAAGACAATAACCTCCTAGGTCCCTGATAACCATCTCTGGATCCAAGCCACACCGGGAGTGTTAAGAGAACGCGGTCTCCACTATCCCCTGGCCTGAAGTGAATCCAATGACTTTAAAGTCTGCGTCAGCTCCGAGCAGTGGGGCAAACAGAAAAGGACAATGGCAGGAAATGGGAATTACATTGTCAGGTGCTAACGCGCTAGGAATCCAGCAGCCGGTCTCCTGTCTCCAAGGAGAGAAACATCTGGCCTTCACATCATACCATCAGCGGAGGACAAACACAGGCAACTGGCAGCTGGCTAGCTTGCACAGACCCCTGCCCAACCCCTGTCTAGGGGCGGCCCCCACAGCACACAACGCAAACCACCAGGCTACCAACTGCAAGGAGTCAGTTGGTGATTCATGCTTCTGTGGGAGCCCTCCCTTTAGTTTGGGGGGGGGAGTGCAGGGGGCCCAGCACTATGATGTGAGGAGGGTGCATGGGGTGGGGCTCCTCTACCAACCCTGGGGGCAAAGACAGATCAGCCCGACACCAGGCTCTGAAGGTCTACAGGGTCCATGGCAGCTGACTTCCTTTCAAAATGCCCCGCATTTCCATGGTGATCAGCCTTCAGTAACAATTCCTTGCATTTTCTCTCTAACTCCAGTTTTTAAAGCACTTAACACATTATATCCATGAATTCAGTTCTTACAATATTCACGGGAGGCAGACAGGAAGGGCTGACATTATTCCCCCCATTTTAGAGCTAAGAGACTGAAGCACAGACCAGGGTCACACAGTGGGGGCCGCAGACTTCTCTTCCTGTGTAAATAAACAGCAAAGGAAGAGACCTGGCTCACATCCCCCTCCCCGGCCTTCAACAACGGCAGATTCACTGCATTCAAGGCCTACTCTGATCCATCAAAAAGCAGAGTCCAGAAGCAGAGCAGAAAACAGTCACAGAAAGTCACCATGGAAATGCGGTGCATTTTGAAAGGAAGCCAGCTGCCATGGACCCTGTAGACCTTCAGAGCCTGGTGTCGGGCTGATCTGTCTTTGCCCCCAGGGTTGGTAGAAGAGCCCCGTGCACCCTCCTCACGTGACAGTGCTGGGCCCCCAGTCCCCCCAGACCAAAGGGAGGACTCCCACAGAGTCAGTGACAGACCTTGCGTGCTCCCCATGGGTGGCGAGCCTGCTGCCTGAACGCAGGGTTCGTGAGCCCCCGGATCTGTGGTTCAGATGGACATCGATGGGCACCACAATGGGGAGAACTTGGCCAGCCAGCATGTGGGCAGGTGTGCTGCCCGCCTGCCTCTGTGGGCCACACAGCCTCCTCCCATCTGCGCTCGCAGGATCCTGGAGCTCTTGCACCTCGCCTCTCACCAGCACCCCAGCCTGGCTGCCAGAGAATACAGACCACAAGCTGACACCAAAGAGAGTTGGAATCTGGGAGCCCAGGGACACAGGACTGTTTTCTGTCCATTCGGAATGCTCTGGGCTTTGGGCTCAGTTGTCTCTGACTTAGTGGCTGTATCACTTTTGCTCACCTTTTCCCCTGGCTGGGACTGACAGGAAACAGAATATTCAGCAAAGAGAGAAGAATATGGATGGACCACACCAGGGTCAGAATATCTTGAGCTGGAATGGACCTCTGAGGTCATATAGTCCAGCCCCCTCTAAGGAAAGAGATGGGCACAGAGACTCAGAGCACTTAAGGGCCTGGACCACAGTCACAGGCATGTGGGAGACCAAGGACTCCAAGCTGGGCCCTCGCACTTCCAGGGAACCAAGACGCCTTCAGTCGGTTCCACAGCTAATGGAAGGTTATCCGGGAGACTTCTTCAAATCTGCACAAGGGTCTTCTGCTAGGAAGACGCCATTCTCTGGAAGGAGGCCACAAGACAGCTGGGTATTACAAGCCAAGAGAGAAGCCCGAGTCAAGCCGGGCTAGCAAGAAGAGCTTAGAAGTACCCCCAGTCTAAGATGATGGACTTTTCTCTTCTTTGTCCTTCTATTCCTTCATTCAGATGCATTTTTGAATGTCTGCATTTTCTCTCCTTATCTAAACAACCCCCAGAAAATGCTCCACTGTCATATACAGCAAGCAAGGGTAAGAAGGCACACTGAAGAGAACAGATGCCCGAGCTCACTGACCATCATGGTTTAGAAATTAAGAAAATTTTAAAATGTTTAAAAGAAATTAAAGGAAAGTCAAAGTTTCCCTGGACCTCTCAGGAGCTAAGAAACCTGTCAAACTGATTAAGATGCAGAAGGCCCGGCTCTCTGCCTATTGTTGGTGTTGCTGCTATCAGAATTAATTATATTCCAGCATCACACAGGAAAACCTAAGAAGAGGGTTCATTACCATGTCACATCTCAGCTTTCTCTTCTCTCCTCTAACAGAGGAGAAAATTCATCTTTTAGGGAAAAGGGCCGAGTAAAGTGGTGCTTTTGACACTCTAACCCTTCTGGAGGTAAATCCTTCTGAAATCCTCACCTCCTTCAACAGTCTCTCACAATCGCCACCCTTGTCTTGTGCTGTGACACAGTGACCTCAAAGAGCCTTTGGAGACAGCTGTGGGGAGGTGCAGCCCACCTCCCCCCCCACCTGCAGACAGGCTGACAACTGCCACTGCCTACCGCCCCCTCCCCTGGGCTGCTCCGAAACACAGGATTACCAAGCTGGTTAGCAAAGGAAAAGAGGTGCTTTGGGGTCCTTTCCTGGGTCTCCTCTGGGCTCTCACCAGGTGAGGTTGTCAGGTACCTGTGTTCTCGGCAGGCGTGGCTGCTGCCACAGCTGGTGCATCTGGTGTGAATCAACCAAAGAAAGCCACTGTAGGCTAGTTCTGGGATCTTCTTAGAAAGCAGGTGAGGAATGCTGGGGTCTGAGGTGGTGCTGAAGGGCTACGCCCAGCCTGTCAGGTACATGGGCACAAGGATTTGTGCAGACATAGGAGCCTGAGCGAAGAGCGAGGAATGAGCCTTTTCTTTGGCCTCAAGGCATCCGATATGATTCGACCATCCCCTACTCACCACCCCCCAAAACTTATGAGAACATGAGGAGATAGGACATGTTTTGTTGGGCCCCAAAGGCAGACTCGGGAGCAGAGACACAGGCTTGATTTAAGTTAGGAAAAAGTTCCAGGCCATGAGAGCCTTCCCAGAATGGAAGGGGCTGCTCGGGGAGGCAGCAGGCTCCCCTCCTTGGAAGGCTCCACACAGAAGCTAGTCACTCTTTGATGGGAGTGCTGATCAAAGATTTCATGGAGGGTGGGGGTTTGAGTTAGTTCTGGCTCTGTGACAGTGCATGTGGGGATGTGTGTGGGGGCCTGAACAAGGGGCGCACAAGTCTAGCCAGCCCTCTCTGTATGAGCAGGCAGACCCCTCCACCGCTCAATCAGATGCCCCTCTCTCCCCGCCTGACTCATCTGAAGACACTGCCCCACATGCCCTGCTCAGACTCCCCTAATGCAAATCAAAGTCAGCCCTCCTTCCTATTTCCACCCTCCATTCTCCCTTTCCAAAGTTCCTCATCTTTCCTCCACCTAGACAACAGATGACCTCATCTTCTATCCTGGTTTATCTCCTGTTAGTTATCTGCTTTTGAGGCATACAAATCTGTCTCCCCTGGTATTCGGGGTCCAGCACCAAGGTGAGGAGGCCCCGTCCTCATCAATACATCAATATGCTAGGAAGCTCAAAACTTGTTTTCTCAGCCATTTCAAAAGGGACCTCCCAAGGGCATTCAGTCCAAACCCTTCCTGGCAGACTGAGGCCTGAGGGAGGATGACAGACCCTCTCAAGGTGACCAGTGTAACATGCCTCTGAGGAGAGACCTGAGCCCCGAGGCTCTTCCCACTGAAACGCCAGAAGAGGAGATGCCAAGCTGCCCTGAGCTAGCCCATTTCAGCCTGGATCGTCTTTCTGATGCCAGCCCTATCTCAAGTCTGTGCCCTCGTTGGAAGGCCCTCAGAACTAAGAAGTGCTAAGGCCCAGCTTTTGATCATGCCTGTGATTATTCTCTCCAGCCCCAAGGCACCAGAGGCAGTGAGCTGGGAGGAAGCTTGGGGAGCTGAAGATGGAAGCAGGGGGCAGACCAGGAAAAGAAGGGGTTCAGATGTGTGGGCGCACGCGGCAAAAACACAAACAAGTGACCTCGGAACAAATTGGGCCAGGGCAAATGGCCTCTGGGCCAGCCTCATTTCCCACTTCTCCTGAGGCTTCACCCTTTTGCTTGGATCTATCCCATGCCCCAGGCCAGAAAGGAAATCTGGAACAAGCATCAGACTAGAAACTGAGGAGGCATCTAGGTGCTGTGGATCCCAGTAAAGCAAGTGGGAGTGCTGCACCTCAGTTTCTTCATCTATAAAATGGGACAATGCCACTGGCCTCCCGCGCCAAAGTCACTATGGGGCCCGGGAGAAACGGCTGGCGTGAATTCCTCCTGTCTTCCAGCAGCCTGAATGCAGTAGGAGTTTTACTATTTTTAAATGGATGGTGGCTTTGGGCACTGACAGCAGGTGAGCTATAAGGGAAGAAGGTCTGAGAGGTTCCTGGCGGAATCCAAGAGAGGAGGAAACGGTCTCCCAAAGAGGATGTGGGCCCTGGGTGGGTCCCATTGTTTGGGGCAGCTCCTGAATGACCCCTCCTCCATCCTCTTCTCTTTAAACACTTTCCCTCAGTGGAATAATTCACCGGGGAAGGCCCAAGGCTAAAGGTTAAGGTTGGTGTTAATTAAGGAATTTCTGCTCAACTTGTTTTTCAGCCTCGAAGCCCATTCTCAGCCCCAAGTCTGGCCTCTGAGTCTGGAAGATGCTCACTGGACTCCAGGCTGGCCTCTACCCCATGCAGGCTAGGTCACAAATGGGTGAATCTATGAATGGCCAGACACAGGAAGGCTCTTTACACCAAGGAAATCCCAGGTCGGAGCCAAAAGCACATTTTTCAAAACAGGAATGGGGAAGATATAATTGGGATCTATTCACATACACAACACAAGATCACACAGTTAGGGGAGGAAGCACACACATCCTTCTCCTTGCCCAGCTCTGACCCTGTGGCTACTCAGGGCAGCGCCCAGACAAGCCTGCCCACTCCTCCACAGTGGTGCTCCCAGCTGGAAGGGACCCCGGAGTCCAGCTGGCTCAGCCCCTTCATTCACTCACAATAATCCCACATGGAATCTCCCAAGTGTGGATCTGGAGTCAGAGAAGCTGGGCCACATACTCCTCTCACTTCAGAAAACTGGGCCTCAGTTTCCTCACTGGTGAAACGAGAGGCTGACCTCAGACCCTAGGGCATCCAGCCAATCCCTCATTAACTAGTTAGTGAGATGGCCCCAGAGCCGGGGCTCTTCCCACCGTCCCACACTGTCTGCCCTGTCCTTCCAGCCCTGGGCCTATGTTCCTCCTCCCCATTTCTAACTGAGCACAGGAGACAGGATACCTACACAGATACTACCTATAGGCCGTAACCAGCCAATTCAACAAACATCCATTAATAATAAAGCTCCCATGTGCTACACACTGTTCTGGGAAAGATGGAAACGAATATTTATGAAGCACCTACTGTGTGCCAGGCACTGTGCTAAGCACTTTGCATGACTGCATTTGATCCTCACAACCACCCTGGGAGGGAGGGGCTGTGATTATCCCCATTTTACAGATGATAAAATGGAGGACCACAGAGGTTAAATGACTTCCCCAGGGTCACAAGGCTAGTTAAGTGTGTGAAGCTGGATTTGAACTCACGCCTTCCTGATGCCAGGCCTGGAGCTCTCACCTCCTATGTTCAAGGATCATAGGATTCCAGATCAGGAGGGACCTCAGGGATCATGTGGTTAGCAGGTCCAAAGAGAAGCCGTTTGTCTAAGGCCACCCAGGCAGGCGATAAATCAAAGGGGCCAGGCTCCAAATCAATGACTGATGTCGAGCTAAGACAAGCCAAAGCCCCAGCTCCCCTAGAGCCAAGTCTAGAAGGGGAACTCTGTGACAAAACGATGCATGATGAGAGGGGAGGTCACCCTGCCCCCTACAGGCACCACCACACTTAGATCTCCATCAGAAAGAATGTCCTGAGTCTAAACCAGTTCCTGTGCTCGGCAGCTCATCTTCGGGGTCAAGCTCAAGGAAAACACCAAGAGCATGCACAAGATACTTACAGATCAGTGGATCTGGACAAGATGGCGGACAGGGTCAGAAGAATGCATCCAGAGGGGCCAGTCTGAAACTGAGCAGGAGACAAAAGTGACACACAGGGAGTGAACAGGAGCTTTTCCCCAGCACCAAACGTCGGTACGTGAAATAAGCTGCACGTGACACAATCCTTCCTGATTTGCACCTAGGAATTCTTCTTCTTGGATCACTTCTAAGCATGTTCCCCAAAGAGAAATGGCCCTCAGTGCTAAATGAGCAAACATCTGACTCAGGATGTGATACTTACACACATCTCCCATATTCAGAAAAAAAGTGGATGTTAGACATGGAAGGAACCTCGGAGGTGAGGTCATCTCAGCCAAGCCTCTCAGGCAAGAGTCGAGGAAACCCAGGCCTGAGAGGCTGAGTTCAAAGAAGTCGGCAGAAGCAGAGACAGCGTCAGGCCTCTAGCCTCCCCCACCCAGGTGAGGACTCTTTCCATAACATGTTGCCGGCCTGGAGTTTATATATGGGGGCCTGGGAATGCCTAGACGGTGTGATAGAAAGATCTTCCCTATTCTGTGGATCTTGCACTTTGGTCTAAAAAAAGGTGAAATGTCTTCCAACTGCTATTCTTAAGGCAATGTCAAAATCATCCTATTCAATATTAAAGCTGCCAAGACACGCAGGATGCGGGGAAAGTTAATAATGCTCCCCCTGCCCAAAGGCTCCAGGCGCTGCCAACAATCAGCTCAGTTGGAAACCGCCGATTATGTTCAGAACATGCCTGAGACCGCGCTAGAAGAAAGAGCTCTTCTTCCACGGAAGGAGTCTTGGGCCAACCCTTGAGACGCAGATCAAGAAGAGAACTGTTCCCCCAAAGTTCTGCAGGGTTGCCAGGCACCGCCCCAGCCACGGGGGAGTGGGAATGAAAACCCCACACAGAGGCTGTTTATTTAGGCAAAGACTCTAGGCTCGGCATGGAGAATTCATCTGGGGTTGAAGCTCTTGAAAAAGAATTCTGTCAGGGCCATGCTGAGACAGCTGAAATTCTTCCAATAAAAATACAATTCAACTGAAGGAGAAAAATATATTATGATCTTGGCAGGAAGCCAAATATTTCCCGGGCACTAGAAAAGGGGGCAAGGCTTGGTCAGAAGGGCTGAATCTGTCTGTCAGCCGTCCCCTCCTATTTACAGACACACACTCTCCAACATGGTCCATGGAGCATCACACTGCTTATCTGACAAATGAGGAACCAGGCCTACGCTTAGCTCATGGTTATCACGGAGTCCTAGCTCACACAGTCAGTCCATATAGAAGCCAGAACTAACATTTCCAGATTCTGAGTCCAGAGCTCCTTCCATGAGATCATGACGCATTAAGGCCCTGGATAGTTCTGTCCTATTGCACCCTTGGTCCCACTGCTTACTCCCCAGCCTCAACTGTTTCTTCTCCCTGAAGAGCACATTTTCGGCCTCAATTATCTGATCGTGTCCACAGGCCACACTGAGCTTCTCAAAGGCCTGAGAGAGAGCAGAGCGAAGGCCTCACGTCCCAAAATGGTGAGTTCTTCCTGGAACCGCCACCTTGTGCAGGGGCCCAAGCCAACCTCCCTTCCCTTCCAGGCTCAGCATCTGACTCCAAAGCCACACCTCTGCTGCTGTCACCTCCAGAAATTGCCCTCAGGACACCAGGCCTCCATCCACCTGCAATGTTCCTGCACCAAGTCTGCTTTGTCCTCCCACCGGGGAGTTCCTGCTGGGGCCTCCATCTTGTGGAGAGGTCCAAGCTAGACTTGTTCTCTTCACTGTTCTAGACTTGCAGACTTCCGGCTCACCTCCTCCCCCTCTTCAGCTCCCTTTTGGGTGCAGTCTTCCCTATTAGAATGGAAGCTCTTTGTGGGCAGGGACTCTCTTTTTGCTTGTATTTGTATGCCCAGCACTTTTCAGAGGGCCTGGCAAACATTAAATGCTTAATGAATGCTTGTTTTCTTCCTTTCTACATTAGGGAGGAGGTGTGATCTGCATGGGGACACTTAAAATACTTTAAAGTACTCAAGAGCATGGGCATATCTTCATCTCTGCTAACCAACCAGGGCCAGGGCTCCAAAGGGGACAGACAGAGAGTGCTGAGTCAGGAGCAGCTATCCTAACAGACGTCTTTCAGCAGAGGGCCTCACCTCCTGCCTGTGCCACCTGACATGAATGCCCTCCACACCACCCCCCCCACTCTCCCAGATCCATCCCCTCCAGGAGCCGGGTCCTCTACTCTTTCCTTTTCTGTTCTCTGGCCCCTTCTCTGCTGCCCACAAGAGCTCTTGAAAGCACAAACCCATACCTGGTGCCAGCTGGTGAAGGGCGGAGCTTCCTCTCCATGACCTAACTCCAAATAACAGGTTCCTTCTCCTCCCTCTCAACACCATCTCCCTCACTGATCTCTGCTCCCACGGGCTCAACAATGCAGAAGGCTCCCCCAGATCTAAAGGGCCAGTTCTAGTCTCTCCTGTGGGCTCCACTCATGGACATCTAAAATTGGATGTCCCATGACCATTCCTGACTCAAGTCAGAAATCCCTGACAGAAACCCCAATTTCTTCCAGTCACCTGAGGTCCACAACCTCGACATTCTCCTCCACTCCAGACTTCCACGGCCACTCAGCAGCCAGGCCTTTTCCTCTCCCCACCTCTAGCATGTCTGCCCCGGCCCACCCGTCCTGACCTCAAACCTGGGCCATGCATGCCTCCCCTCTATCACCTCCGGGACAAACCAAGTCTCCTCAGCTTGCCCTTTCAAGCTCTTCACATGTGGCTGTGGCTATTGGGCCTTTCCAGGCCTGATACTCATTCCCGCCCATCCTGCTCTCCACGTTCCAGGCCAAATGGCCACCTTGCTGCTTTGACCTCTGAATACTACCTCCTACCGCCACACTTTTGCACAGGCCACCTCCACTCCTCATCTTTCATTCCCTAGCACTCCTTCTCACAAGAAGCCTCTGATCCCCCAGTTACTGTCTTCCTCTTCCTTAACTTCCCGGGTGCCAATGAATCAATGCGCACACCCAGCACCGAGGGCACAGAGACCAAATACAATGTTCCCGCATTCCTTACATTCTCTGAGGGGTGGGGGAAGACAGCATGTACCTGGTGCAGGAATGCGTGGCCCAGAGTAAGCATTTAATAAAGGCTTTTTAATTCATTCACATAAAGAAATAAATGTTAAATCCAAGATAATTTTTAGAGGAGCTGGGGGCAAGACCTCCTGGAGGAGGCAGTGGCCTGGCTAGGTTCTGAAGGAAGAGAGGGATTCTAAAAGGCAGAGGGGAGGAGAGGCCTTCTGTGCAGAGGCATGAAGATGGAGAAGGCCAGTCTGGCTAGAGAGGACAGAACCAGGCTAGGGCAGGTGGCTGGGGCCTTGAGTGCCAGACTAGAGTCTGTATCTGAAGCTTGAGGCAATTCTAAAGCAATAGTGCCAGAGTCAAATAGACAGGGTGGTCAGGATCCTTGCAGGCACACGCTGACTGAGAAGATCACAGATCCACATCTCTGTGCTCTGCTGCGTTTTAATTTTTTCTTTTGTGATACAGCTCCCAACTGTGTTTGGCATCTGGCTCTGGCCACGTGGCTGGGAGCGCTGCTGGTGCTGTCTTGGGCCACATGCCCGACACCTCTGTTCTAGAGCTCTAATCCCCATACGTGAAACCCAGCCCTCTTTCCCGTTTGCCCCTCAATCATCTGAAGGGAGTGATCATGTCTTACTCATCTTTTCTCTCAGTGAAAGAAACCTCCTCAAACCTACTGGTCTCCATGAGCCAAGCTCATCCTTACCCTGCTCCAGCCCCATCCCAGGCTTCTCCGATTCCCAGGACTTGGCCCCCTGAGGCAAACTGCCCACGAAGAAGCCTCTCTACTTCACTATCAATGCTGAGCCAGGGGGCCCTGGTGGGTCCTGGTTCCAGGACTGAAGCCCCTGCCAGAGTCGGCCCTCCCCAGGTCAAGGAAGCCTCCAGCCAGGTTGGAGCAGCAGAGCAAGGGACAAGTCAGTGTACCTAGGAAATAATTTTTAGGTCAAGGTTTTAATCACAAACAAAATGGAGCCAAAATAAAACACTGTCATACCTGATGGATATTTTGTTGAAGAAAAATGACCAAATCTTCATACTTGGTCACCTTGTGCAGTATCAGCTGAAAGAGACAAGTGTTTTTATTGTTCACGCCCCCAAATACAGTAAAATGCCACTATGAGAATTTTACAGAAAACCATACCATCTCCAAGACTCCATCCGCTTTGTATTTTCCTCCTGGGCTGAACTGCTGCATTCCTGACGCCCTGAAAAGGAGAAGCAGACACAGGAGTCTTATGATTCAGCCAAGGCAAAACCACATATGTAATAAATGAAGACAAATAAAATAACTTGGTTACAAAGAAAAGAATGTAGCAAAGCCTTCCCCTGCCCCCTTTTTAGGACTCACCCACAGGCTGAATCAGAAAAACTTCACTGACAACTGGAAAACATCAAAGGAGGAACAAAATTTCCATTTCCTAACAGAATCAATCAATCAACATTTATTAAGCACCTGCTGTGTGCCAGCACTGTGCTAAGCTGTGGGGATACAAAAAGAGGCAAAAGACAGTCAGGAGCTTGCAGTCTCATGGGAGAGACAAGACACAGACAGACCTATACAAAGCAGCTCTACCTGGGAAAAATAAAAGAGTGAATTAACAGAGGGAGGGCACTGGAATTCCGAAGCATGGGGAAGGCTTCCTGTACAAGAAGGAATGTTCGTTGAGACTTGAAGAAAGCCTGGGAGGTCATTAAGGTAGCATCAACAATTTTGGTCGAATGATGAAGTCGGAGGTCAGGCTGCAAAGTGAGAGGAGAGCAGGTAGAAAAGAAGCTGACTTCAGTCCCCAGAGGCAGCCAAGATATGGGGCCACAGATGGAGGGCACTGATGGATCAAGTGTGGATTTTCTGAGAATGAAAGAGGAAGAGAAATTAGAGGAGATGGGACAGAATGACAGAGGCAAAAAGGCCACCTCTTTCCAGGAGTCAGGGGTGAAAGAGGACAAGGTGGCAGAGGTCCCTGAGGATGAACAGCCTCAGTTTTTGAGTTGAAATATAAGTCCCGGTTCGAGTGGAGAGGGTGGGGGGAGGTTTGAGGAAAACCCACAGCTTTGGAAGCACCACTGTGGCCTGTGGGAGAGTGAGTTAATTAAGGAGATGTAAAAGAACTGCCTCATCAGAGTGAAAGTCCAGCTGAGGCAGCAGAACAGACATTTGTACTGGATTCCATCAGTGGTTTCAAGTGATTTTCTCCACCTTTGTTCAGCAGGAGTTAACTCAGCAAAGGATGGAGAGAACCAAGGCTAAGGACGGACAGGCAAGGTCAGTGATATGAGATGGGTGCTAGGGATTCAGGAGAGGGCTGCAGTGACTCACTAAGGGGTGAAGATGGGGAAGGGAGGACATGTACTGATGGCCTGGGAAAGAACTGGACAGTCAAGGGACTGGTCACAGTAAGGCCACAAAACAGGTCAGAGCTGCAAGGCAAAAGAAGGGCCTCAAGGACCAGAGTGTGATCCAGGTAGGGAATCTCGGAGTTCAACAACACAGAGTTGGGCCTTGGTGGCTGGCGACCGCCTGAAGTGAGATGGGGATGAGGTCCTGCACACAGAAATGGCAGATGCACAGTTTCTCTGGGCACCCGATGGGATTTCAGGAAAAGAGCTGGCTAGGACACAGAGGGGCACGAGCCTCTCAAATATTCCCAAGGTCAACATTCTCTTGGCATTTCTACTGGGTGCAATCTAAGAAGGAAGAGAGCTGATCAGGCTTCATTTCAGAAATCAGGCAGCCCTTTCAATGACTCCAAGCTTGACTATAAATCACAGAGTGCCTCCATCTCCAGGGAATCCCCCATAGGTGACAGACATGGTGGGCCTGACTAGGCCACAGCATGTCACATACAGTGAACTCCCTGTATGATGGTTCACCACTGAGACATCACCCAAGAGAGGCCGACTTGGAAAAGGAGGGGGAGCTCAGGGGGCTCAGCTCTACAGCTGCCTAGAACTTAAGAGGCCCCACTCCAATCCCTTCATCTTGTAAAGGCCAAGCCACCTGCCCAGGGAACACACCTTCTAAGTGTCTGAGACAGACCTGAACACAGCCCTTCCCTACTCCAAGCCTCTCAGAGGCCACGCGTTGTACTGGTACCGCTAGGAGAAGGACCTCAGAATGCAGGGGAAGCCCTCAAGAAGATTTACTTTGGGGCAGAGAGAAGGAACAAGGAAAAGAAGCAGTAAGCATTTCCACAGCACCTACTGTGTGCCAGGCCCTGTGCTTAGCACTTTGTAAATACGATCTCATATGACCTTCACAGTCATCCTGTGAGGGAGGTGCTATTATTACCCCCATTTTACAACTGAGGAAACTGAGGCAGGCAGCAGTAAAGTGACTCGCCCAGGGTCACACAGCTAGTGTCTGAGGCCTATATGAACTTAGTAGGTCTCCATGATGTCTGGCCCAGAGCTCTGAGAAGAGTTTCACAGGATAAAAAGGCATGCATGGGTTTGCAATCAACATCATAGAAGAAAGTACCTAAATTGATGAGATTATGGACATCTTGAAATACTGAAGAATTTAAAAAATTAACTGACTAAATTTTCCTTCAAAAAAAGAAAAAACATTGTCGAATGATGGGATAAAAAAGCACTTTTTTTTTTTCCAGCCAAAGACAAGGTTTATTAGAACATCCATCATATTGGGCAGACTCTTAAGGAATCTGAGCAGTGGCTAGATTTTAAGAATCTCAGCCAAAAAACACTTCTTGATATGTTGTCTACAGAAACCTACCTAATACCAGAGATAGTCATACGCTGATGATGGTGGGATGGACTGGCTGTCCTTCTGCTATCTCCAAATACTCCAGGGACAGTGATAATGTCCGGTAGAGCGGGGTTCAAATGAGAACTGATTATAAGAAACAGACAAGGAAATCATACTATAGATACACTACTGCACCTTTGATGAGGAGAGAACATTAAATAACTCCACACCTAATTACCTAAGAAATCAAATGAGTAATAGAAGAATTGACTGTGATGAGAATGACAGATTTCAATACCCCATCAATAGAACATGATATATCAAACAAAATCAGAGAATTATCAAACTCAAATAATGCTAAAAAGTCGAATGTGAAGACATGAGGATGTATGTACATATGAGTGTAAAAAATAGGAAACGGACAAGAAACACGAACCATATTCCAGAACAAAAAAAGTACTATACTCAGAAAGGCAAACATCTTATATGCCACATTTGCAGAAAATGAAGCAGTGCAAACAGTCATCAACAATAAACACGGGATCAAGTTACAGGCCTATCTGGAGACTATAATGACTTTTTAAATAACGACTGACTTAAAAAAGAAATTACACAACTGCCTTGTAGCCATTCCAAAGTCAGCATGTCCACAACAGCTCTTTCCCCTGAACTCTCACACCCAGATCCCCTATCACTACAGAGGGCACCCCCATCCTCCTAGGCCCTCAGGTTCCCAATTGAGGAGGCATCCTGGGCTCCTCACTTTCCCAATATGGTACCGAGGCGTGTCGATTTCACCTCCAACATGCCCCTACTTCTCCTCTGACGCGGCCACTGCCCTCGTGCAGGGCCTCATCACCTCACTCTGAACCATGGCCATAGCTGCTAGGGGTCTGCCTGCCTCAAGGCTCTCCCCTCTAGCTCACCCCCCACTCAGCCACGAAGTGATTTCACTAAAGTGCTGGTCTCATGGCACCGACTCCCCACTCAGTAAGCTCCAGTGGCTGGCTCCCTATTGCCTGAAGGATCAAATGCAAAGGCGCTGTCATTCACAGCCCTTTAACCTGGCCCCCTCCTACTTTCCTACCTTATTCCCCTCCATGAAGGCTTCCTTCTGTCCAGGGACACTGACCAAGACCCTCCATCTCTCAGCTCTGGGCATTCTCTCCGGCTGCTGCCCTAGGCCTGGAATGCTCCCCCTCCTCTGTTAACACGACTGACCTCCAGGCTTCCTTTAAGTACCACCTAAAATCTCACCTCTCAAAGCAAGCCTTCTCTAAGTTAATTATTTCCTGTTTATCCTGCACGTAGCTTGTTTTGTATATATATATATATTTGCTTGCATGTTGAGTCTCTCCCGTTAGATTGTAAGTTCCTTGAGGACAGGGACTGTCTTCTGCCTCTTTCTGTATCCCCAGCACTTAGCACAGTACCTGGCACAACACAGTACCTAATAAATGTTTAATGAAATGAAACAATAAAAGATTATATTAAAGATAATAATAATAATATCACTACATAGATCAAAATTTATCAGATGTAGCCAAAGATTCATGGAGAGGTGAAGTTAAATTTCTGAATGGTTCTATAAATGTAAAAAAAGGCAAATTACTTGAGTCTAAAGTTAAAGAAAACTAGGAAGTTACATGGATGTCAAGCAAAAAACGTATTTTTAAAAATTGACTAGATAAATGGAAAAGAATCATTTTAATGACAAGGTTGATAAGCAATTGCATTAAAGTTTTATTTTATTTCATTTAAAAAACAGGAAAAAAGGAAACCTAACTGATACCAATATGGCTAAGTTAGTGGTTGGCAGAAGTCCACCTCATCAGAGCACAACTAGAAATTGGCTAAAGGCAGGGGGACTAAAAGAGAGAAGGGGAAAGAAATCCCCCCAAGAGGAAAAATACAGACGAGAGGGGAAACGAGCAAGGAATCCTCATGGTGAAAAACAGCAGAGAGGAAATGACCAATGAAAAGCTCATAATACAGTGGCAGTTGGAGAATGCCAAGAGCAAACGCCAGAAAAAATAATTTTTTAAAAATACAACTATAACTCTAATAAGAGTAAGAGCTTAAGAAATATTCACTGATTTACATACAAAGAGAATGCAATGCTCACAAAAACCCTGCAAGTAGTTGGGAGGTGAAATAAAAGAAACGAAGGAAGAAATAAGAAATGAAATAAGGGTTCAAAATAAACTCAAAAGGAGGGCTAGAAGAATTCTAGAACTCCATTTCAGCCCGAGGTCAAAAGGTGGTTGATATAATCTAAGAGCTTCAGGAATCCTGGGTTTAATTCACCTTGAAACATGATTGCCAAGCTCCAGAGGTTCTGAGTCAAATTAAATATTGTCATCATGCAGAAGACACACATCTGAACATGGAACAAGGAATCCCAGTCAGAATCATACTGGATGTCAATGAAAAATGGGTGGAAAAGCTAGAATATGATATATCAAAAAGTCTGAATTGAAAAGTAAAAGAATCTTCACTTATCAGCTGATTAATTTAGCCTTCCTTCAAAGTTAGGCATGACCCCATGGGGCAGTTTGGGCTAGTGGTGGGAGGGACTTTTATGGCAACTTCTAAGCACTCTTCTTGAGGAAACTAGAGCTTAGGAGTCCGTAAAATGCAAACACAGAAAAGAGACAGAAGAAAGGTAATCAAGTGTGCCTAACTCAAAGCTTACGGGATGAATCAGTGCTTATATTCTGAAGGGGGGACAAGAAGACGTGGATTATTTCTATGACTTGCTGTTTTTTTTAACTAGGCATGATTTTTAAAACGGCGTGAATCTTCCCACTCTATCGTCCTTGTTGATTGTTATTTTAATTGTACTACTATCTACAAATGAAGTATTTAAATGCTTTTCCTTTTAAATTTAAAACTTTTCTGTTTTTATTTTTATCATTTTTCTTGAATATTCTATGTGTACCTGGGCTGACATTCTACCAGGGGAGACATAATGTGCATATACATTGTTGTTCAGCCATCATTTTGAAGTGGACCGACATCGTGGGTTGACTCTTGACTTGCACATGAAGTAAATGTAAGGGGGACAGAGCTGCCTGAAGTCAGCAGCCTTGCTCACTGTTCCAGTCATCTGAACTCAGCGGCAAGACAACAGTCAGGACGACTGGTGACAGTGCAGGGTCAGGCTCTACGCGCTCCATGGCACCAGCTTCAGCCACCTTGGGGGCTGTTTGTGCAGCAGCCACTCTCCGTTAAACCGGCGCAGGCGCATCAGAGGGGAACTGCCCACAGATGGCAAGGGCGGGGGGGGGGGGGGGGGGACTCCTTGGAGTAGGGTGTGGTGCTTGCTGAAAGGGGAGGAGGAATCAGGAGAGACAATACCTGAACTGAGTCTTGAAGCAAACTAGGGACTTTCAAAGGTGAATGAAAGCAGGGAGGGAGAGTTTCTAACCACGGAAGACAGCCAACGCAAAGGCCTGCAGACTGGATGGAGTGTGTTGAAAGAGTAACAGTAAAACCATTCTGAGTGGGCAGAATATGTGGAGGGGAGTAATGTGTAGCAAAGCTAGAAAGATAAGTTGGGGACAGATTTGAAGGGCTTTAAATGTCAAATATATTTGGTCCTAGTGGTAACAGGGAGCCACTCAAAGTCTACTATGTTGGAGAGACAGAACTTTGGCAATTTTGGGGAGGATGGAGCAGACTGGAGTGAGGCTTGAGACAGGAAGATCATTTAAGACTCCATTGAACAGCAATAAGAGAAAAAAAATTAAATGCATAAAGATACGCATAATGATATCATTGAAGAGGCAATAACAGAAATGGAAACCCCATTCCAAATAACTAAAAACTGCTTAACACATGCAGGGACTTAATCTACCAAAGCACATAAAAGACTCGCATAAATTAAAATATAAAGTGCTCCTTAAAAAGAAATAAAGAATAGCTTAACTAGCTAGAGGCATATTCGGTGCTCATGGTTGGGCTGTGCCAATATAATGAAATAAATATATTACCAAAGCTAATTTATAATTTTACTGCTATGCAATCAAAGTACTTGAGAGAATCTGATAAAATAATAACAACATTCATTTGCGAAAAAAAGGCCTAGAATATCAAGGGGAAAACCGAAAAGAGTAGAGACAGATTAAAAAGTATTTTATAAAGCAGCAGCCATCATAACCATCGAAAGAAAGAAAGGAAGGAAGGAAGGAAGGAAGGAAGGAAGGAAGGAAGGAAGGAAGGAAGGAAGGAAGGCAGGAAGGAAAGGAAAGAAAAGAAGGAAGGGAGGGAAAGAAGGGAGGAAGGAAGGAGGAGGGAGGGACAAATACAGAGACAGATCAATAGAACAGATGAGACAAAGGTGAATCAGAAACGAGACTCAATAATGCAGCGTTCAATAAACCGGAAACCATAAGTTATTTAGAAAAGAACTCCCTCCTTGATGAAAAACAAACAAACGAACAACAAAAAAACAACTTTCTGGGAAAACCAAAAAGCAGTCTGGCAAAAATTAACCTTATATCAATACTTTACACCACATTTCACAATACATTCCAAAAAGATGTGATCCTAAAATCAAAGATTATGCCATTAAAAAAAAGAAAGACCACATACCTTTCATGGCTATAGGTAGGTGACGTATTTGTAACCAAAGAAGGGAAAGAGGCAATTGTAAACGATAAAATATGTGTGTGTGTGTGTGTGTGTGTGTGTGTGTACATACACACACACACACACATATGTATATATGGGGAAAAATCTTTGTATTAAATTTCTCTGATAATGGTTATTTAAGATATATGAACAATTAAAAGAGAAGGAAGGAAGGACAAAAGAAAGAGAAAAAACACAACCAAAAGCAATTCCTGCACAGAGAAGTGGCCAAAGGCAATGAATACCCATTTCTCAAAAGAAGAATGGCAAACCATTGAGAGCAAATGAAAGAGGAGGCAGCCCCAAAGGGAGGGCACTGAGGAAGGGGGAGAAAGGGAGAAGAAAGGAGAGGACAGGATCGGCTGCACCTGGGATGAAGCTCAGGACTGGAGGCAGAGGAGCTTGTGGACAGCCAGGGAAAAGGAATGAAGTGGGCAGACTTCGCTGGATTGTGGAAGTCCCAAAGTGCTCTCATCATCCCCGTTATCACCACCTGGGCATCAGCCCCGTGTACCTTCTTTTCCCTTCCTGCTCAGCTGGCCTTGGAAAATCCTGCTTCTTGTCCCCCTGTCTCCTCAGGCACTCAGAGCTGGCTGGAGGACCTGGCTCGTGCCATTTGCCCTGGCAGGCAGAATTCCTAGTGACAGCTCTGTTTGGGGTTCGACTGGCTTGACTTTGTACAGACACGAACAATTTGAAAAAGGAGAAATTCCCTGTTAATAACTTACAATGCGACAACCGCCTTTTCCTCTCCACCTGCCCGCCACAGAATGTCAGCCATGGCCATGATGAGGCAATTGGTCCGGTAGGTGTCTGAAGGCTGTAGCTCCCTAAGAAGAGAAAAGAAAAGCATACACCTTTGTGGATAGGTTGAACACATTCTGAAACACATGAAAAGGCTTAAAAATAGAAAAGAACTCTGCAAAATGCTGACACTTCCTCTATCAGAAGGCTCTGAGTCCAACTCATTGTCCATCAAAGGTTGTGGCAGTATCAGGGTAACGAGAAGCCCCCTGCAGTAAGTCAGCATGAAGAAACTCACGCACATGGGAACAAAACGCACAGCTTGGAAGTTGGATTTCTTCTGGACCCTGACGTAACAGACAACTTCTCCTACGTCTCCTTCATTCGGACCACTTAATTACTCATCATCACCACACAGAATACAGCACCTTTGCAGGCACAAGAATACACGAAGAACCCTGACCTAAAAAGAGAAGGTACAGCTTGCCCCATGGAAAAGAGCATTGTTTCTCAGCGACGTGAGGAATCATGTTGTCTTTTCTAGAGTGGTCCATCCAACAGCGCCCTGGGGGCTATCATTATTTCCTCGTTTCTCTCACACGATGTTAAAAATAATATGCTGTTATCTCTAATGGTGATAAGCTAGAAGCCTTCCCAGTACAGTCAGGGATGAAGCAAGGATGCCCATTATCATCACTGTCTTTCGATACTGTACTAGAAATGTAGCTATAGCAATAAGAAAATAAAAAGAAATTAAAGGAATTACAAGAGGCAATGAGGAAACAAAACTATTTCTCTGTGCAGATGATATGACGGTATACTTAGAGAATCAACTGAAAAACTAGCAGAAATAATTAACAGCGTTAACAAAGCTGCAGGCTACAAATAAACGCACATAAATCATCAGCATTTCTATATATTAACAACAAAATTCCAGCAGCCAGAAACAGAAAGAGAAATTCCCTTTATAAAGTAACTGCAGACAATACAAAATACATAGGAGGCTACTGGCCAAGACAAACCTAGGAAGTATGTGAACACAATTACAAAACACTTTTTACACAAATAAAGTCTGATCCAAACAACTGGAAAAAAATATTAGTTGCTCATGGGTAGAGACAATATAATAAAAATTGTCATAATAAAAATGACAATTCTATCTAAATTAATCTACTTATTCAGTGCCATACCAACCAAACTACCAAAATTATTTTGTAGAGCTAGAAAAAATAGTAACAAAATCCTTCTGGAAGACCAAGAGGTCAAGGATATCAAGGGAAGCAATGAAAAGAATGTGAAGGAAGGTGGCCTAGCTATACCAGATCTCAAACTGTGTTAGAAAGTGGTCATTATCAAAACAATCTGGTACTGGTAAAGAAACAGAGTGGCAGAACGGCAGAACAGATTAGATACACAATACACTGTAGTAAATAACCATAGTAATCTTGAGTTTGGTAAACTCAAAGAGTCAAGCTTTTGAGACAAAAGCTCATTATCCAACAAACACTGCTGGGAAAACTGGAAAACAGTACGGCAGAAACTAGGCATAGACCAACATCTCACACTGTGTATGAAGATAAGGTCAAAATGGGGACATGATTTAGACACAAAGGGTGATACCATAAGCAAATAAGGAGAGCATGGAACAGTTTACCTCTCAGATCCATGGAGAAGGGAAGAATTTAGGACCAAACAAGCCTAGAGAGCGTTACAAAATGGAAAATGGAACATTTTGATAAGATAAAATTTAAGTTTTTGTACAAACAAAACCAATGCAACCAGATCAGAAGGAAAGCAGAAAACTGTAGAGAAAATGTCACGGCAAATATCTCTGATAAAGGTCTCATCTCTCAAATATACAAAGAACTAAGTCAATTTAGTAAGAATGTAAGTCATTTCCCAATTGATAAATGGTCAAAGGATATGAACAGGCAGCTTTCAAACGAAGAAATCAAAACTATCTATAGTCATATGAAAAAATGCTCTAAATCATTACTGATTGGAGAAATGCAAATTAAAACAACTCCAAGGTATCACCTCACACCTATCAGATTTTGGTTAATACAACACAGAAGGAAAATGATAAATGTTGGAGGGGGGGATGTGGGAAAACTGGGACAGTAACGCACTGTTGGTGGAGTTGTGAACTGGCCCAACCATTTGGATCTATGCCCAAAGGGCTATAAAACTGTACATACCTTTGACCCAGCAATACCACTGCTAGGTCTACATCCCAAAGCGATCTTTATAAAAAAGGGGAAAGAACCTATTTGTACAAAAATATTTATAGCTGCTCATTTTTTGTGGTGGTAAGAACTGGAAATTGAGGGGATGCCCATCAATTGGAGAATGGCTGAACAAGCAGTATGTGATAGCGATAGAAGACTATTGTGCTATAAGAAATGACAAGCAGAGTGATTTCAGAAAAACCTAGAAAGACTTAAATAAACTGATGTAAAATGAAGTGAGCAGAGCCAGGACAACATTGTACACAGTAACAGCAGTACTGTCCAATGAAGAACTGTGAATAACTTAGCCATTTTCAGCAATACAATGATTGAGGATAATCCCAAAGGACTCATGATAAAAAATGCCTCTAGAAAAAGAACTGATGTTGTCTGAATACAAACTGAAGCATACTACTTTTCACTTTCTTTTTCTTTATTCTAGTCTTCTTGCACAAAATGACTAATGTGGGGGGCAGCTAGGTGGTGCAGTGGATAGAGCTCTGGCTTGAAGTCAGGAGTTCAAATCTGACCTCAGACACTTGACATTTACTAGCTGTGTGACCGTAGGCAAGTCATTTAATCCCGACTGCCTCACCAAAAAGCAAAAAAAAAAAATTGACTAATATGGAAATGTTTTACATGACTGCACATGTATAACCTACATCTGACTGCTTACTGTCTCAGGAAGGGGGGAGGAGAGGGAGATATAGAATTTGGAACTGAAAACTTAAAAAAAAACCCAATGAATGTTAAAAATTGTTTTTACATGTAATTGGGGGAAAATGAAATATTATTAAAAATAACAATAATAATACTATGCTGCCAGGGAGTTCATTCTGAACTAAAAGCACAATAAGCTTGTGAAACATTACAAACAAATTATTCTTTTACATTTTAAAATTTTGAACTAAGCCTCAAAGGGTCTAGATGAAGGTAAAGCGTCAACTGTCAGCTAAAGCCCCAACTTCTGAAAGAAGCAGAGACTGGGCCTTTGGCTTTGACTTCAGCCCAGTCCTTCTTCATCTTCCTCCCTTCCTCCCTTCTCTCGGTGATTCTCTCCACTTCACTCCATCTCTATCCTGCCTGTAGACAGTTGTGTGCATGCTGTCTTTCTTTGCATTCCCAGGCCTCAGCACAGTGTCCAGCACACAGTAAGCACTTAATCAATGCTTGTTGACTTGATCTGACCTGACATAATTTGGGACAACTTCCTGAAGCCAGATCATCGCCTGCAGAGACTACATAAGAAGCCTCCTGCCAGACAGATGGGATTTATGCTCTACTCTCCTCCCTGTCTTCACACACGGGGATCCATACAATCCATACATCCGTTTCAGAAGGTTAGCTTGGTAAGGTAAGGTAGAAAGAGCCTAAGGAAGGAACTTGCTAACACAAAAGTGCTGCTATCTATACACACAATGGGAGGTGCGACCTTTCTGTTATCCCTAACCTAACAGCGGAAATTCTATGTCAGAGAGCCCCATCAGATTGCTGTCATTTTCTTGGCATCATTCCAAGCCACTTTCCAGAACCAGGCAAGGTCTGTCAGTGTACCTGGCCCTGCCTCCTGGGGATGAATTGCAGGGGTGCTCTGTGGTCACTGCTTCCTTCTCCACGCGTCTGCTCACCCGCCCTCAAAGAAGACACTTCAGATCTTTGTCAGTTGTATGAGTCGAGCTCAGGCCTGCTGCCTGAGCCAATGCACCTGAGGCTCCCTTCCCTTCCCTGGGATGTGTGAATCGAGGGCAGATAAATACTCCCACCCTCTCCCTCACTGCCTCGGTTTCACCGAGAGCTTCAGTGTTTTGTTCCATTCTTTTCAGCCCAAAGGTCAGTCTGTATGGTAGAGGAAACAGAACCAGGTGAGGAGTACTCTCTCTTTCATCACCTGCTATCCCACTGTCCCATGCACCCCTAATGCACAGGTGCTATCCCTTTTTTGATCATCCTCAACAGAGCTGAGAGCCCGCCAGACAGACAGACCAAGAGAAATCCCGCCCTTTTGGTTACCCCTAGCTTTCATCATGATCTTTAGTTTACTGTGAGCTTATCTTATATCCTTATATCTGCAGATATCCCCAAAGCCCAACCCTGAGCAAGTCATTCCCCTGCTCAGGAAAGTTCAATGGCTCCCTCTTGTCTCAGGGTGAAAACGCAAACTCTTCCACGTGGCATCTAAAGTCCTCACCACCTGGCACAAGCCTAGACTTTCAGGCAGATTACACACCACCTCCTTCCCACTCTCAATGCTCTGGACAAACCTGGCTGTTGGCAGTCTCCGTAAACACCCTCTATCAAAGTTTCCACAGACTGTCCCCCCAAGCTATCAAATGTTCTGTCTCCACCACTATTTCTCAAGCTTCAAGGCTCAGGTCCAGAGCCACCTTTCATGGGGCTGCGGTGAGGCAGAGGCAGAGGCCTTCTGTGATTCCCTTATTCATTAGCACCTCCTCCCAGTCCCTGTAAAAATCACCAGGTATTGTTTCTATACCCAGTATTTAACTACAAGCACTCTATTTCCCGGTGGAAGCTCCTTGGGGGCACAGACTGGCTCACTTGGTCCCTTCATGCTTGGTACATAATTTTAGGTGTGTGCTTAATAAATGCACACTAACATGATCTGACCTAGCAAGAGCTAAATAGATAAATGCAAACAAATTGTGGTGTACATTCATGATGGAATATTATTCTTCTATAAGAAATGGTGAGCTCAATGATTTTAGAAAAGCATGGAGAGACGGCCACGAAACCATGACGAGTGAAATGAGCAGAACCAAGAGAACACTGAATACACTGACAGCAGTATCATTTTAAGAATAATTTTAAGCAACCAGGTCATTCTGACTATTCTAAATACC